CAGCAAACCAGGAGCGCTGGGCACCTCTTTGGGGCCAGGAAAACGCCCACGCTGGACTCCATGCCCTGTAGCGTCCACCACCCCCTCTCCAAACCATCCCCTCTCCAAGTCCCTCCGGGAAGGTGGCTTTTTCCCAGGGTGTCTCACACATCGCAGCATGTTGAGGCAGGGGGAAACTGGTTCTGGGGGTATACTGCCCACCACCACCACCACCATCAAATTTGCATCCTCCTTCTGCTGTCTGCCCCCCCCAAAACAAACACAACCCCACACTCATTTTGTATATAATATGCACTTATTGTTGCTACTCCTGCTAACTAACAAATATTTGTAATTGTACCTTAAATCAATGCTGTTGGGGAGATTTAGCATGCAGGACTACGGCTTGCTTTCTGAAGGGTTTGCAGTGGGGCCATATTTTCCATTGGGGGGGAGAACATTCAGAAGCATCTTAGTGACAATGACTCTGATGTTAGACTTCAAATGACTGAAATTCAGTTACACCTTTCGGAAGTTTTTCATTTGTCTTTTTTTTTTTTAATTTAACAAATGGCAAATTGTTACTGGCAGTGCTGGGTACCTAACAGTCAAGACAAAAGCATCTATAAAGGCCATATGGCACGTGCCCGATTGAGGACAGAAGAATGTAAAATACAAAAACTGCTTCAAATAATGTTACTGTGCAGCCGTTGCCTGCCTGCAGATGCTGCCCAACACTGCAAGTGCATGTCATTGTGCACATCGCTTCTGCTCCCAGTGCAGAGCAAAATCCTGGAAGACTGGAAAAGTCTCCAGTTTCCCATAAAGTTAATATGGAAATATTACTCAGCAACAGCTGTGCCCTGGGGTAGGGGGGCTGGGGCTGGGCGTTTTGGCCGGGTTCTCCTGGGATGCTGGGAAGGATGATTCTGGAGAAACTGGGAGAGCAGGGAGGCGGTCACTGAGCTACCTTGAGGTGGAGAGAAGGGGGAGACCCCCCCCATCCCAGCATCCCCCTCCCCAGCTCTGGGCTCTCCCCTCCCTCTGTCCCCCTGTCCCTGTCGTCCCCCCCAGTCCCTGGCTATCAAAACAGCTTCTCTGGCCGAGGCGGAGAACATGGCCGACCTCATCGATGGCTACTGCCGGCTGCAAGGGGACTTGGAAACCTCCCTCATCGTCTTCCCCAGGAGAGGTGAGCACCCTGGGGGCGGGGGGGGCACTAATCCTGTCACGGTCCCCACCTGTGTCCCCCCTCCCCAAGCCCTTCCCCGCTCTCTCCATGACCACAGCATCACCCGTGGCTTTGGCTTGACCCCGGCTGAGACTCACCAAACTCACTGCACATGTGGTCGAGGCATTGTGGAGCAGGGAAGGGGGTGGAGGGGGGGCGTGTGGGGCTGGGACCCCCCTCCCCCCCAAAACCCCCCACTCCCTGACCCCAACCTGCTCCCACCCCACAGGCACCTGGAGGAGAGGCAATCCACACTGTCTGACAGCGTGAGCGTGGGTGAGTTTTTTGGGGGTCTTCTCCTCCCTTCCCACCGGCCAAGGGGGTGCTGTGGGACACCGGAGCCTGGGGATTTGGGGGGTTGGTGGAGCTGGACACCCCCAGACCTTTGCCTGGATGTCAACATGCAGCCATGCGTAGAATTATGGAATGGTTAGAGTTGAAAGGGACCTTAAAGGTCAGGGGGATCCCCAGGGAGGGTCATCCCGAACGCTCCGGACGGCCGCGGTGCCTACGGGGGCTGCTCGGGGCTGGGTGGCCGGAGCTCATGGAGATGCTGCAAGAAACCCCCGCCTTGAGCTGCCCGAATCCCAACCTGCAACCTCCTCCTCGCCCTAGAATCCGATATTTATGCTGAAATCCCCGACGAGTCTTCAAGACCGAGGTCTGGAGGTAGGTGCCACCCCCTCGGGTGCCCTCTCAGCCCATCTCCCAGCACCCCAACCAAACCCTCCCACCTCCTCCTGCCCACCCCATTCCCCAAAAACTAGGAAGGAGGTTTTACCTACATTGTCCGCCTTACACCCCGGCACCACCCCGAAGGGACTAAAGGAGCTGGGATCACCCCATATGCCATGTGGTAGGACCTGTGAGTCCTCGGCAAGGGGGTGATGGGGAGGGTTGGTACCCAGGGGTGGCCAACATCTCCTGCTCAAAGTGGGGGCTCTGCCCAGGAGCGGGCAGGGGTACAGGCAGCATCCCGCCCGCTGGCACTGCCACCTCTGCCCCTGCTCCCCTGTCCATCAAGTCCAACACTACGGGATCTCCCGGGAGGACGTCACCTTGGGCAGGATCCTTGGAGAAGGCTTCTTCGGAGAGGTCTACGAGGGGATCTACACCACCCCGGTGAGCGTCCTGCTCTCCCCCTGCCCTGCCTGCCTCCTCCGAGGCCCAGGAGGTGGGAAGAGAGGTAAAGCAACCCCCTCTTCTCCTTCTCCTTGAAGAAAGGGGAGCGGGTCAACGTGGCGGTGAAGACCTGCAAGCAGGACTGCAGCCCGGAGAACAAGGACAAGTTCCTGAGCGAAGCAGGTACGTCGGAGGGTCCTGCTGCCTTTTTGGGGGGGGCACAGAGGCTTCTCGGTGACTTGCCCCACCACCACAACCCCAGCACTCACATAGAGGGGCAGAGGATGGACGTGGGGGACCTAGCGGTGTCTGCAGCACTGCAATGGTTGGGTGTCAGAGCCAGGATGGTAGAACCCTGCCCTGGCATCTTCTGGTCCCGGCGTGGGGACAAATCACCGTTTCAATGCAGGACAGAGCAGGAGGAGGGAGGTGGCCTGTGCCCTCCCCCGCTGTGACATGGATGTTCTCCAAAATACCTGGTTTATGGGTGGGATGGCTACCGGGGGCAGGGGGGAGAAAGGCTGCCGAATCCTTGCATGAGAGCAGATGGGCACCACCACCAGGGGGTAGATGCCTGGGGAGGTGGAAACCAGGAGCCTTTGGGGACGTACTAGGCTACCGTGGGCAATTACTGCCGCTCTGGCTCAAGCTCCATGGCAGAATCCTGCCCCTACACCCCAGGACAGGGCTTTGGGCTCCCTGGAGGGGGGCTCCCCCCACTGCAGGGTGTCTAATGCCGTCTCCCCACAGTACTGATGAAGAAGCTGGACCACCCCCATATCGTGAAGCTCATCGGCATCGCGGAAGAGGAGCCCACCTGGATCATCATGGAGCTCTATCCCTACGGAGAGGTGAGCGGGGTCCCACCCCTGGAGCCCATCCCGTCCCCCTGCCACCCTTCCTGGCCCTGCTCGGTCCCTGAATCCCCCTCGCTCCTCCCGTTGCAGCTGGGGCAATACCTGGAGCAGAACAAGCACTGCCTGCCCGTGCCCACCCTCATCCTCTACGCGCTGCAGATCAGCAAAGCCCTGGCCTACCTGGAGGCCATCAACTGTGTGCACAGGTAGGGCAAGGAGGGAAAAGGAGCCGGGCAGGGTGCTGGGAGAGGCAGGGACAGCAGGGACCATGGGGGGACAGGCGGGTGGAGAGCAGGAGCCAGCAGAGGATGGCAGCATCCTTTGCTGCAGACCGTTTTTGCAGCTGGGTGAGCTGGTGTGAGCTCTCTTCCTCCATCCCTTCATCTCCATCCCTTCATCTCCATCCCTTCATCTCCATCCCTTTTCTACATCCCTTTTCTCCATCCCTTGTCCCCAGCCAAGAGCCTCTCCCCTTGTTGGGTGTGAGCTCTCCTTCTCCACCCCTTCTCCACCCCTTCTCCATCCGTTCTCCATCCCTTCTTCCCACCCAAGGGTCTCTCCCCTTGCTGGGTGCGAGCTCTCCTTCTCCATCCCTTCTCCATCCCTTCTCCCCACCCAAGGGTCTCTCCCCTTGCTGGGTGCGAGCTCTCCTTCTCCATCCCTTCTCCATCCCTTCTCCCCACCCAAGGGTCTCTCCCCTTGCTGGGTGTGAGCTCTCCTTCTCCACCCCTTCTGCATCCCTTCTCCATCCCTTCTCCATCCCTTTCCATCCCTTCTCCATCCCTTCTCCATCCCTTCTCCATCCCTTCTCCCTGGCCAAGGGTCTCTCCCCTTGCTGGGTGTGAGCTCTCCTTCTCCATCCCTTCTCCATCCCTTCTTCATCCCTTTCCATCCCTTCTCCATCCCTTCTCCCCAGCCAAGGGTCTCTCTCCTTGCAGGGATATTGCCGTGCGGAATGTCCTGGTGGCCTCCCCAGAGTGTGTGAAGCTGGGTGACTTCGGGCTCTCCAGGTACATCGAGGACGAGGAGTACTATAAAGGTAAGGGCTGCGTGACGGGTTTGGGGCTTGCTCCAACCCTGTGAGGGCAGAGACCGTGGTGAGACCTCGCTGCCCTGCCCTGCCTGTGCTGAGGCTACTCCATCGCCCTGCGGTGAGCACGGCCACCCTCTGTCTCTCCCTCCAGCGTCCATCACCCGTCTCCCCATAAAGTGGATGTCACCAGAGTCCATCAACTTCCGTCGCTTCACGACAGCCAGTGACGTCTGGATGTTCGGTGTGTGGTGGGATGGGGATGGAGTGGGGTCCTGGGCATCATCTGCCTCCTGTGGCATCGTCTGAATGCACAGGGACAAATCCTGCTTAAGAGCAGGGGGGTTATCCAGCCT